TTGGCATGGTTTGGGGGGTCCCTGGGGTGGAGGGGCTGGTTTAGGGGTGCTGGAGAGGAGGAGTCCCTGGACTGGTTGGGGTGGACTGGGGGGATTACTTGGGGTGGTTTGGGGATTTTTGGCAGCTTTGGGATGCCCCTTTTTGGAGGGGGCTGCCTTGGGGGTCTCACCCCAACATCCCCTTTGCCTCCCCCTCTCCTCCCACAAGTTCCCTTTTTGCTGGGATATCCCTGGATTTGGGGCTTCCCTGGGATTCTCCCAACCCACCCCTCGCCCCCAGACCATCCTGGGGGTCCCCCAACCTCACCTGTGCCCCCCTCAAATCCCTCAGGCCCCCTGGATTAATGGATTCCCTGCTCTTCCTCTCTGCCCGTCGGCTCGTCGCCCACCGCCCCCTTCCCACTGTCCCCGCCCAGCTCTATCCCGTCCTCTTCCAAGCTGCGTTCCTGGATGGGAGACCTCTAGTCCTGCAGGATTTGGTGGCCCAGTGGCCATTCCCAGTCCTCAACTTCGAGGGGATCGTGGGGCGCCGGGAGCTGCTCCGGGATCATCCCTCCAAGCTCTGCATCCAGTCCGTCATCCTGGCCGTGGTGGACCAGCTCCGGCAGGATCTGGAGGAAGCAGGCCATGATTCCAGGTGAATCTTGGGAATTCCAGGATACATAGAACCCACTTCTGTGGTTTTTCCCTGCTTGTTTATTTCTGTTTTTCCCATTTCCTGGCCCAGCCGGTGCCGTCTCCGTGTGCTGGATGTGACGGGACTCCGGGATGATGCTGCTGGCCGTGCTCCGGAAGGGATGAGTGTCTGGTCTGGCACCGTGGCCCTGGCCAAGGCTTGTGTGGAGGTCTCCAAACACCAGCGGGAACTCCAGAAATGCAGATCCAGGAGCCACAAGGGCCGTTCCAGCGCTATGGCAGCTCCGCGATTCATCGACATCCACGCTGATCTCTTCGTCAATGGAACATCCTATGGAATCCTGTGGGATGCACTCCAGGCTGGGAACACCAGCCCACTGCGCCTCAAGTGCCGGGAGTTCCAAGCCGAGGAGCTCTGCCTGGCTGGAATTGTGAGTCTGCTGAAATCCTTGGATCCCTCTGGCGTAAGGAGGGTGGACCTTCGCTTCAACAACCTTGGACTGGGGGGTCTCTCCTTGGTTTTGCCACATCTCTCCCGATTCCTGGGTCTCCGAAGCCTCCGACTTCCCTACAGCAATGTCGACGTGCGGCGGCCAACGCCAGAGTCGGTGCTGGGAATCCGATGTCTGGCCAGGGAGCTGGGAAAGCTGCAGAGCCTCAGGGAGCTCAACCTGGGATCCTCCAGGCTCTCCGGGAATTTGAGGCACATTCTCTGGTAAGTTCCTGCTGGAGCAGATTCCCAACTGCATTCTTCCTGCACTCACTGAGGATTTGCAAAGGTTGGACTTGGTGGTATTAGATATCTTTTCCAACCTTAGTGACCCCATGATTCTGTGATTTTGTTATCCCAATACTCCATGACTCTATGCTCCCATGATTCCATTGTCCTGTAATTCCATGATTTCATGACACCACGATCCCATAATTCCTTGACTCCAGGATTCTCAAAGGTTGAACTTGACCATCTTGAAGGCCTTTTCCAACCTTAATGCCTCCTTGACTCTGTGATCCCAGAATTCCCTGATTCCGTTTCCAGAGGACAGCAAACGCTGCATCCCGGAGCTCCACCAGCGCCAGGTGCTCCTGGCTGGCTCCATGACTCCATAATCCCATCACTCCATGATTCCATAACTCTGTAATCCCATAACCCAGTAATTCCATAACTCCATGATCCGATAATTCCGTGACCCCATGATTCCATGATGCAATGAATCCATGATCTCATGGCTCCCACAATTCCACGATCCCATGACCCCATGATTCTGTGACCTTGTAACTCCATGATCCCATGACTCTATGATTCCACAATTCCAAGGCTCCCTGATCTCAAGACTCTGGAATCCCATAATCCCATGATTCTCAAAGGTTGGATTTGATAGTCTTGGAGCTCTTTTCCAACCTCAGTGATTTCCTAATTCCATGATTCCATGATCATGAAGGGAATCATGGGTCTTGTTTGCTGCAGTTCCCCCAGGAATTTGGGAGCCATTCCAACATTTCAAGGTTTCATGGAGGGTTTGATCTATTGGCGCATCCCTCCCAGCTCCATGATGTCACCACAGGGTCACATCTCCTTTTTCATCCTGGCAGCAAACTCGAGGCTCCATTGGAAAGCTTGGAACTGGCCTTCTGCTCCCTCCTTCCCGCTGACTTCGCTTTCCTCTCCCAAAGCTTCCATGCTCCGGCCCTGAAAAGGCTGGATCTGAGCGGCCATGATTTCTCCCAAACTCTTCTCCAACCCCTTCAGCATCTCCTGGAGGAAACCTCGGCTTCCCTGCTCCACCTGGACCTCATGGAATGCCGGCTGACAGACTCACACCTGGATGCCCTGCTGGTGTCACTCCGGCACTGCTCCTGCCTCCGTTCCCTCGGACTCTTTGGGAATTCCTTCTCCACAGCAGGGCTCAAGGATTTATTATGGAAAACTGTGGTCCTGCCAGATCTCCGCCTGGTCGTGTATCCTATCCCTGTGGATTGCTACAAGTCAGGGCTGGATCCTGGCTGGATTTTGGAGGAGCAGCTGGACAGGGAATGTTTGGGAGCAGTGAGCGCAGAGCTGGGCCGGATGCTGGAGAGCTTCGGAAGAGCTGACATTGTCTGGACTTCCAACCCCTATGGACACGAAGCCCTGGATTACTTCTGCTTGTAGCTGGGGAAGAGCTTGGAGCCTTCAGCCTGGAGAAGTGCTGTGGCCTCAGTGCCTCCTTCCTCAAAGAATTTGTGTGTATTCCACCTCATTTCAGTGTTTTTCACCCTATCCCAGTGTTTTTCAACCTAATTTTGGCGGTTTACCGCCTCATCTCACTGTTTCTCTACCTCATCCTGGTGTTTTCTGCCTCATCCCAGTGTTTTTCCTCTAAACCCATTGTCTTTCCACCTCATCCTAGTGTTTTTCCACCTCGTTTTGGTGTTATTCTGCTTTATCCTGCTGCTTTTCCCCATCACAGTGGTTTTTTCTGCCTTATCCCTTCTCCTAGTGTCTTTCTCCTTCTCCTAGTGTTTTTCCACTTCATCCTGGTGCTTCTCCACCTCATTTTGGTGGTTTTCCACCTCATTGTGGTCTTTTCCCACCTCATCCTGGTGTTCTTCCACCTCATCCAAGTGGGTTTTTGCCACGGCCCGATGGAGAAAGGAATAGGGACACAACACTGCACAGAGGGTTCTGACAAGATGGAAGGTCAGGGTGCAATGGCCACTTTATTGAGGGGGAACAAGGACTTATATAGGGTTCGAGTGAGGGGAGGTCTGATAACCAGGGCAGAGCATGGGATGGACATCTCAGGGTATTGCAGGATTGGGGAATGAGGGAAAGTGGGAGGAACTTAGGAGGAGTTAAGCAGCGGGGACCAATGGGAGCTCACTCCACACTGCGGCACTTACCGGCCAGTCAGTGGGGAATGAGTGGGAAAGCAGGGGAGAACAAGGTGGTAAACAACTTTTGATGGGAAAACTTGTGGACAAGTACAGACATGTTTGGGGCAATACAATCTAAGGGGATTAATACAGAGGTATATATGTAAGGGTACATAAAACATGGGACGAACTGGGAAGTAACACAAAAGTCCATAATTTATCGTCTTCTCTAAGCTCCATATAAGTCTCTCCAGGCTTGGAATCGTTCCCACTCACTCTGATGTTCCTCCACAGGTTTTGACCTCATTTTGGTGTTTTTCCTGTTATCCCAGTGGTTTTTTGCCTCATCCCGATGGTTTTCCACCTCATTCCAGTGTTTTCCAGTAACTTTTGTTACCACCTTGTCACCAGCCGTAGCTGGGACAAACCTGATGTCACTGGAAACCCCCCGAACTCTGCTGATTAACACTGGATATTAATTAATTAATAATTAATAAATCAGCATCACTTGGCTGGTGATGAAATTCCTGCCAAATCCCCCCTAAATCCCACTCTCCTGTATCCTGAATCCCAGCACTTCACAGTGAGGAATCAGCATGGTGAGTTCTGTTTTTTGGGGGGAGTTTCATGGAAATAAAGGGATCCCAGTTGCCATGGAAACACCCATCCCAGTGCCAGGTTGGGCTTCCCTCCAATTTTAGGGATGTTGGGGGGTCCCCTGGTGCCAGGGGTCTCTGATTCCACCATATCCCGTTGCCATGGGAGTGATGGGAATGGTTGGGGGGGGGTCTCAAACTCCACCATTTCCTGCTGCCCTGGGAGTGACTGGGATGGTTGGGGGTCAAGCCACCTGTTTTTCAGGAATACCAGCCCAGGGACCCCCCAAGCACCCCTGAACCAACCAGAGACCCTTCTACCCCCCCTGAAGCAGCCCAGGGACCCCTCCAGTCCCCCTAAACAAGCCCAAGAACCCCTCTAGCCCCCCATCCCAGGGAGCCCCAGCCCTCCTAAACCAGCCCAGGGAATCCCTGCCAAGGACCCCCCAGAAACCCCCTAAACCAGCCCAGAGACCCCCTCAAACCTCCCCAAAACCAGCTCCCCATCCTAAAGGACTCTGCCAGCCCCTTCTAAAACCAGCTCAGGGACCCCCCCAAACCACCCTCAGATCGCGTGTGTCTGTCACACCCGTGTGGGGTCCAGGTTTGTGTCTGTCACACCAAGATGTTTGTCCAGGTGTGTGTCTGTCACACCCGTGTACCACCCAGGTGTTGTCATCCCCCCTCTCCTCCGGTCTGTTCCCTTCACAGGCCCGGGAGGGGACAGGCACAAGTGTCCCACGTGTCCCCGCCCCCACAGGTGTGCACACACACCTGCACACAGGTGTTGCTCAACAGGTGTTTATTGGTGTTCCTATCACCACGTGGCCTCCGGGGGGCGCTGAGGGGAGGGGTCTCAGGTGCCCCAGGTGTGCGGGCACAGCACTCTCCCCAGAGCCCCGGGTGTCACCTGCTCACAACCCGCAGTTATACACCCGCTCTGCCGTGGTCCTGCGGGACTCGGGGGGCACTGAGGGAGTCCTGGGGGTCCTTGAGGGCATCTCGAGGGGCCCCTCAGTGGCCTCGAAGTGGTCGACACGGAAGGCCCAGCGCCCCGGGACCCCCAGGTTGCTGCGGTGGCTGAGGGTCTGCACAGTGGGCGTGCGGGACCCTGGCACGTTGTAGTAGTGCACGTCGTCCCCACTGTTAAACCCGGCCTGGGGGGCATATAGGGGGACACACAGGGGGGGACAGGACAGGGTGGGTGGTGAGGGGGGCAGTTCTGTCCCGGTTCCCGCAATTTTACGCAAAAGGACATTTAGTTCATCCCAATCCACTCGTTCCACCCAAAATTCCCTTAATTGCACCTAAAATCCCCCTAATTTCACTTAAAATGCCCAATTCACCCCAAATCCCCTTAATTCCACCCAAAACTCCCTTAATTCCACCTAAAATCCCTGATTTCACCTCAAATCCCCTTAATTCTCCCCCAGAACTCTTTACCCCCCCATCCCAGAACCCCCCTAGCCTAGTGTGGGGGTCCCTGGGGGTGTCCCCATGTCCCCACCTGTGCGGGGATGCCCCCCAGTCCAGTGTGGGGGTCCCCCATGTTGGCAATGCCTGTTGTCCACTGCAAGTCCCCGTAGTTGAGCAGGACAAAGCAGGTGACACCATCGGAGGCCAGCACGGCCTGGAAAGTGTTCACCTGGGGGGGACATTGTCACTGTGTCACGCTGGCACTGCCACTCCCAGCTGTGTCCCCAGCCCTGTGCCCCCCAGAAAGCTGGGGACACCATGGCTGGGGACACTGTGGTTGGTGCCACTGTGGCTGGGGACACCTCGCTTGAAGGCCAAGCCACTTGAGCTTGTCCCCTGTGTCTCACCTTGTCCGAGGCGGCCCCAAAATAGGCCACACGGTCCCAGGTGGCCACGAGGGCCCAGGTGGGGCGCGGTGGGGGGTCTCCTGGGGGCACAGTGGGTGCCAGGTCCTGTGCCAGGCGCTCCAGCAGCTCAGGGTCACGGCTCTGGCGGTACCAGATGTCTCCCCCCAGCCGCGTGTCCACGTCAGCCCAGTACGGGGCCACAAAGGGGCGGTGGCCAGGCAGCGGGAAGGGCTGGGGGGTGAACTCGGGGACCCTCGTCCCGAACGACACCACCCCATTGTTGTTCACCTGGGGGCAAAGGGCACCTGTGAGACACCTGGGGGGCACCCACCAGTGACCCCCCAGTGGTCCCAGTTATGACACTGCCAGTCACAGTGACCCCAAACCAGGTGTAACCCCAGAACATCCCAGGATGGGCCTGGGACCGCAAGTGTCACCCCAGAACCTCCCCATATGGAGCTAGGATCTTCCAGTATGGGACTGGGACCCCCCAGGATGGGCCTGGGACCCCCAGTGTCACCCCAGAACCTCCCAGGATGGGCCTGGGACCCCAAAACCACCTGGGGGTCCTGCAGGTGTCCCCCATGTCCCCAGGGGTCTCCACTCACCCATGTGGCCAAGAAAGGAGGTGCCACCAACTCTGGTGGCCCCCATCCCACTTGCCATCCCCCCCTCCTGGTGTCACCCCCCCAGTGCCACCCTCCATGTCCCCCCCATGTCCCTCCAGTCACATGACCCACGTAGCAAGAGTGGTGGCCGCTCCCGAAGAAGGAGAAGTTTTCCCACAGAAAGATCTCGGGGCTCGTCCCGTCGTCCTCATGGGGAGTGGGCTCATCCCCCACACCTGGCCCGAAGGGGTACAGGACCCCCCCTGGGGACACACCACAGTCAGGGACCCCGGACACTGCCCAGGATGAACTGGGGCACCCCAGGATGGGCCTGGGACCCCCAGTATGGAGCTGGGACCTCCTGGTGTGAGACTCAAACCTCCCAGTGTCACCCTGGGACCTCCCATTATGGGCCTGCGACCCCCAGTTATCACCTCAGAACCTCCCAGTATAGGCCTGGGATCCCCAGTTGTCACCTTAGAACCTCCCCGGATGGAGCTGGGACCTTCCAGAATGGGACAGGGACCTCCCAAGATGGGCCTGGGACCTCATACTGTGGGACTAGAACCTCCCAATTTGGGTCAGGGACCTCCCAGTTTGGGCCTTGGACCCCCAGTGTCACCCCAGGACCTTACAGTATGGGCCTGATACCTCCCCACTCTAGGCCTGGGACCCCAAACTCACCCAAGGGTCCCACGGGAGTCCCTGATGTCCCCAAGGGTCCCCATTGCTCTGTGAGGCCGAGGAGGAGGAGGAAGAGGACAGGGGGGACCTTCATCTGTCCAGGCCTGGGGGAACAGGGGGTCCCTCCTCAGCCATGTCACCATGTACCCCCATGTCCCCAGTGACCCCCCCATGTCCTCAATGTCCCCCATCTGTCCCCATGTCCCCCATCTGTCCCCATGTCCCCCATGTCCCAGTGTCCGCCCATGACCCCAATGACCTCCCATGTCCCCATGTCTCCCCATGTCCCCTCATGACCCTCCATGTCCCCCCATGTCCCCCAATGTCCCCATGTCCCCCAATGTCCCCCAATGTCCCCATGTCCCCC